AATGTTTGAAAATGATTTGTGAAGGGGATGACTTTCCATTAAGAGGGCATATAGTTTGTATTTTACACTCAGGTATCTCATTCAAGTGACGCATGACTGCTGAGCTGCGTCACTCTCCAACTTTACTGCTCCTCGTGGATATAGCTTGGAACCCCGGGGCATGTCTGCAGGTATGAGGAAGTGTCCATCGCATCTGTATGAACACGGCGTACAGAATACATATGTTTAACCCAGTAAAAATATCGTAGATCTAACTGAATAAGTGATTTATAGTTATATGGTATATCCATGTATTTAACCTGTTAACGACAGTTTAACCACACGCAATTATCATGAAATTAAAAAGGTCGAGAAACCTAATCCAGAATGTATGTGTACACGCCCAACACCAAAACGTTTATTTCGTTCAGATTGTTGTAAATATTTGTCTTAATGCTTTCTGCCTGCCACACGTTCGTTCTGTCTATCAACCATATGAGTTCGTTTTGTTTTGCCAACTTTGCTCGCTTTCCCGCCGCCGTTTTACGTATCTATCTGCCCGTCAATCTATCTCGTCTCATTACACAGTGACTACTCTCGCGTAATGAGAATTTTATGTTTAATTAACACTCTCGCGTAATGGAAACACGCTTCGAGATACGTGCGCGCATGTGTAAAATCTCTCTGCGTGCGGTGTCTCCACGAATGCAAATGAACGCAAAACGTGAATGGTGAGAGTTTAGGTGAGATGAGTAAACAAATTAAACACGCGGTGTCGCGATGCACCCAGTCGCCCTACATACAATCTTCGCTCGACCACCTATTCTCGCTCGGTCGCGCCTTATGGTCCTTATTTTGAGTGTATTTTGAGTACGCATGGAGAGGTTTCTGCGCATGCGCCTCTCCCCACCGTGACAGGACTGTCAAGAGACGGCATCTGTCATCTGTCATCTGTCATCTGTCATCTGTCATCTGTCATCTGTCATCTGTCATCTGTCATCTGTCATGATGATGTTGGTGCGAATATAGTCTTTCAAGCTAAAACAATCTTGAATAGGAAGAGTTATCATTTTGCCAAAATTTATTTCTATGAATTAATAGTAGTTCATCCCATAAGAATGAAAAAGATATGGTTGAATAGCGCAAATAGTGGTCATTGTGGTATTGATTATGATGATAACGACGACGACGACGATACGACGACGACGACGAAATACGACGATGAGGCGCGCCATTTATACTAACCAAGACATTTACGACGCCATTTAACTTCCCGTTTCATTAAACAACAGCGCGATTTCCATCATACTCCCCCAGTAATACGAACCTTAAAGAACGCTACAATTCGTCTCTATCAACAGAACTATCAGTAGATTCGAGGATTACGTAAAAGCTGAAAGTACGAGATCTACTTACACATTAAGTGTATCACCGGCTATTTTGGATAATAATCCAGGTCCGAGTTATAAGTAGGCGTAAAAATACGAATAGACAAAAACGGCATGAGGGCACCGGTTGCACATGAATCGCTCATCATGAGAAACTCGGTGCAATATAATTATATATTAGTATCGGTGAGTATGAATTAAGGGATAGTAGATGTAACCAAAATAGATATAAAGGAATTAGGATTCCCTATTATTATTCCTGATATATATAATTATATATATTGTCCGGAAGATCGTGTGAATTAGT